CCATTTTCTTGCATCTTTCCTCCCTCTTTTTAATATTATCACTGTTAGAACCACCTCAGTCTTTAGACACTGTGGTCCTTTGATCTCGGAGTTTTTTTCAACTAGCAGCTGGAGAATGGGTTGGTGAAGCCTGTGTCATGCAGCCTGTGTGTCTACACACTGTAGAAGACCCTCCAATGATCTGTATTTTTTGGTGACACTAGTGACTGAAACTTTTAGGTCTATTTTTCTGTGTGGGAAGCAAACACCACCTTCAATGCTTGCTGTTTAACACTGGCAATAATCTAATATATGTTCCGTTTTCATCTTCCAGTTATATTTTTTGTTCATCTTCCAGTTGTGAGTAACTACTGCAGGTTTTAAGTGTCTTGGATGCAGATCTTGTCTTTTTACTCTTCCAGGTCTAGCAGCTACAGCTAATGCATTTTTTTCTGTGATTTTACTTGTTCGTATTTCAGCACACTGGAATATAGAACAATACCAAAAGCCTCACTGGACCCAGATATGCCTCACTGATTGCCTCTGCTTTATCCATTAGCCAGATTGTAAGAGCTTAACACAACTTTATTCTTGACAAGCTCATATTGGAAGTATCTTATAATCTTCTTATCCTTTATTATCCTCCAGATGTGGATCAAACTGCAAACAGCTGTTTAAAATCTCTTTCTGTGTCTGCTCTCCCTTTCTGCTGTAAATACACAGAGGAAGCAATACACAGATGATCAAAAAAAGGACATCTGAGAATAAAAGTTCTGTAGGGAGATGCAATTAACAGAAGTTGTTTGTTCTGCTGGTAGTAAGCTATGAATTACCAGCAAGGCTTAAAATTGCTTTGTTCTATGCTTTGGGGTTGGACTTATGTACGTATTTAATAAACCACCATTAGTAATTCACAGAGTAGTCATAAAGATCATGAAATAGTCCGCAATTTCTATGCCTTTTCCTCACAATTATGACTAGTAGAAAAACAACAGCCAGACATAGAAAATAGTTCAGAAAATGGCCAGTGATTCATGTTTTTTTCCTACAATTAATCAATTTTAGATTATTTTTTAAAAACAGAAATCTCTAGAAAGACAGTGCTTTAGCATTATATATATATATATATTTCTACTATATATGAGGAGTGTGCAGGGCTGCAATCAGGATGGAGTTGGTCCAGTGATGGTTATCCCAGCGACTTTCCACCTTGCTCTTAGTTCTAGTTTTTCTCTAGAGCTTTGGCAGAAATGTGCCTGTGCATAAGGTATAGTGCACTAAGGAGTATTCCCAGAGCACCTCACACAATGAATATAAGTGTATTTAAATGCTGTGCTTGGTGCTGTTCTCAGCATCACAGCAACCTCATTTAAACCATGTGCTTATGGAGTAACTTATTATTTACACACACATGATATAGAAAAGGGAGTGATGTGTTTACACATGCTCTCTAAACACTTTCTGTGCAGTGCAAGGCAGGCCTAATGTGTAAAACCGGGCTCCTAAGAGAGTCTGTATGACATTTTTATTGCCCAGCTGAGGCAATCCATCACGACTGTTTCTGAAGGAGAGGCAACTCCGTTGCAGACTGAATTCCCTGGCAATCACTTCTCCTGTGATTAGTTACCTCCTCCACCAGGACACCAAAACCTTGGACGTAATCCTCGTTTATCTAGCACCAAAATATATTTTTTGATGTCCTAATGTTGGGCAGAAAAGGCAGAGTGTGGGTGGCAGGAGCTGCCTGGTGCCTTGTGTGGGAGGCAGCCATGACCTTCCCTGTGCTGGTTGCAGCCAGTTGCAGCCAGTTGCAGCCAGTTGCAGATGGTTGTAGATGTCTCCGGCTGGTGTGACCCATCCACCACTGGCCAGGGAGCGTGTGGCACTCTGCACAGGTGGATTTAAGGAAAAGTGGCAACCAGAAGGGGCTGGAGAGGCATGTGGGGATGTCCTGCTCGAGGCTCCCTGCTAGCAGCACAGGAGCTGCAGCATGGCTGTGGCTGGAGAAGCGTGAGCTTCTTCGCTTGGGGCACTCCTGTCGGCAGTGTCCATCAACAGGACAGAAGGCAGTGGGTGCAAACTGAAGCACAGGAAGCGCCAGCTGGATATGAGGAAAATGTTGACTGCGAGGGGGACAGAGCACCGGAACAGGCTGCCCAGAGAGGTTGTGGAGTCTCCTTCTCTGGAGATGTTCAAAACCTGCTGGATGCCACCCTGTGTCACATGCTCTGGGTGTCCATGCTTGAGCAGGGGGGTGGATTAGATGATCTCCAGAGATCCCTTCCAACCTCAACCCTTCTGTGATTCTGGAAGTGCTACTGGGTCCATGCTCATGTATTTCTGACTAGGAAAGCTGAATTAGGAAAGAAACATCTGTTCTCACAAAACCTGAACACATTTATAGGAACATAGCAGTAATCCCACCTGTGGTCCCTAGCACCTCTCCTTGCATGCTGGGTTCCCAGAATTCCTCAGCTGATGCAGTCTGAATTCCTCAGCAGAGCAAGGGAGGGCTGTGAAAGCTGCTCAGAGAAGTTTAAAATTGTGGCTGCCCACTCAGAGCCACAGAGTGCAGTACAAGGACCTCTGGGCATCCACTTACTGTGATCATGTATAGCAGCGCTGTGCAGAGAAAAATGCGTATCTTCTTGGGTACAGTTAAGTACATTTATATAGATTTTGTCCTGGCAGCGATAATTAGCCAGTGTCATGCTTTGGGTCATGGAGCTAATGTGGGGAACCAATAAGCTGCTGCTGGCGGTATGAAGGAAGATTTAATTGCCTTTAAATCCTTCAGATTTAAATCTTTCACATTTAATTCTCTACAATTTAAGAAATATTTGGACTCCTCCGCCTCCACCCCTGAAAAATAAAAATAAGCTTTCCCCTCATCAGAAACCCTGATGCCCTGTTCAAAGACTTTTTTGTTCATCAGCAAGATATATCTACAAAGTTGTGTTTGGGAAGTCTTACCTGCTTTAGATCTTGTTTAATTGTATCAACATAAGTAGTAGAGAACTTTTTTTTTAATTAAAAAAATGAAATATAAATATTTTTACTATTATTCTAGTTTTGTTTGCTTAGTGAAACAACTGAGAGATCTTGTACATAAATTACTGCTTCTTAGCTTTCAGATAAGCGAAAGAAGAGACATACCTGTAAGAGAACTTTAACAGAGATAAAAAGAGGTTGAGACAGA